TTGTGCAAAAGCATTTAGGTGGTTTCCCGAAGTTAGACCTCTGGCAGCATCTCAAGGGTTGAGTTTCAGACTTTCCTTTAGGAGTCGGTGAAGGCACATCCTCCCTTTCAGGCGTTTCAGTAGACAGTGGGTCAGAGGGCTCCACAGTGAGAGTGAGAACCTGAACTGGGCAATTGTTGGGCTGCGTGGTACTGTCTGGACCTGTAATCTTCCAGACTTCCAGACCATTACAGCCAAGTAATGGGTCCATCTGGTTCGTTTCTCAGGTAGCAGTTTTGATCTTTCTCTTCTACTAGGCCACTGCCTTAGCCACATTGCCTCTATTACTGGGGCAATTATGGGATCGCCCTTCTGAGTTTCTGCCCAGTTATACTCTTGTAACACATGGATGGGGTCCACCCGTGGTCCACTCTTAGGTCTTGCCCCCATCAAGGGTAGGTTTTCTTCTTCTTCAAAAGTTTTGCGACCTGAGTCCTATCCGTGGCAGCGCTCTACCGGAAAGGGGGGGGGGATCTCTTTTCTTTTGAAAAAATATTGGTTGGGGATGGTGAGGTGTGTGAGATTCTTCTTCTTCATCCTCTTCCTCCACATCTCGCTGTGGTTGTGCTGAATGGTGCCGTAATAGAGCATCGGCCATCTGATTGCCCTTCCCCTGATGGTAATGCAGGGAAAAGTCAAATTTTCACCAGACGTGCCGCCCATCTATGTTCCAGAGCACTGAGTTTGGGTGTCTGGAGATGTAATAAGGGGTTGTTATCCATCCAGACCTCAAACTTAGCCCCTGTCGGATACTCTGTGAAACGTTCTGTGACTGCCCACACCAATGTTAACAGTTCCAGCTTGAAGGAGCTGTAGTTTGCAGGGTTTCTCTCCGTCGCATAAAGGCTGCGGCTGGCATAAGCCGTAACCCTTTCCTCACCATATTGCACTTGTGAGAGCATGGCTCCCAGGCCCTGGTTATTGGCAACAGTTTGTAGCCAGAAAGGAAGAGAGAAATCAGCAAAGGCCAATGAAGAGGCTGATGTTAACTGCTGCTTTAAGAAGTCAAACGCTTCTTGTTGTTCCTGTCCCCATTCCACCTTTTTGTGGCCCCCTTTCTGGCCTACTCCATGTAGTAATTTCTGGATTGGGGCAGTGTAATGGGCTTAGTGCTTGATGAAACATTGATAGTGCCCTGTTAATCCTAGGAAGGCTTTAACTTCAGTCATGGTTATTGGGCCTTCCACTCATATAGGACTTTGATTTTCTATGGGTTGGGGAGCACACCTTGTTTTAAGATGACATGTCCTAGATATTCGATCTCACATATGAACAGGTGGCATTTTTTTGGTTTAAGCTTCAGCCCATACTGGGGTAGCCAGACCAGAACAGCATCTAGGTGGGTGATGTGTTCTTGGAAAGAAGAGAGAACAACACTATATCATCTAGATAAATAAGATGCTATCTAAGTTCATGTCTCCCAGACAATGTTCCATTGTCCTTTGAAAAGTAGCAGATGCATTGCTCAACCCGAAGGGCATCCTCTTGAACTGCCATAAGCCCACAGGGGTGATGAAAGCAGTTTTTAGGCGGTCTGCTTTGGCAACAGGGATCTGCCAATACCCACTGCTGAGGTCAAGCGTGGACAAGAATTTGGCTTTTGCTAGGGCAGCTAAGGACTCTTCAATTTGCGACAGAGGATAGGCGTCTGGGAGCTGCCCAAGGGCTCTTGCTGTCTTCAATTATGGCTTGCTGCATCATCTGTTTCAACATGTGCTTGAAACAGAGGTATGTTTCTGTACCATTCCAGGATGGGTGGACTCTCTCCTGTTGATATCTTATGTTCAATCCCACTGATGCAGCCCAGGTCAAAATCCCCCTGTGAAAACACCTCTGACCACTTATATGCTAATCGCCTTACCGCTTACGCCTAAACTGGGTGACAGTTCCTCAGTGGTCAGCTGTAGAAGTGGACGTATCTGTTCTTCTGCTCATGCTTGGTCTGTTCCTGTTGACCATTTGGCAACATTCACTTTAGCTACATAGCATCATCCATGGAATTTCTGGAGCTCTATGTGGTACACTGGTGTCCCCTAGGGTAGACGAAGTGGAATAGTCTTGCTGTTACGCATCCTGACTAGCATGGTGCCTTGTCGAACTACTTTGAGGGTTCTAGCAACAAACGGTGCCATATCTGAGCGTAAGGATGCTACTAGGACTGGGACACCTTGCAGTCGATGGCATGATCAGACATTCAATGGAAGTACAAGGTTTTGGCAGGGTGGCATTACGATTTCTGTCCCAATGGAAACCCTTACAATGCCAGGTTTTTTCTTAATGTTGCTGTACTTGTGGCAGAGTTCTTTAGTGCCTCCAAGGCATGAAGCAGCTTTCTAATTTCTGTAGGTGATCCCAGGCGTGTAGGGTATTGTTTCAACAGCTCAGGCCTCAGTCCCTGAATGATATTAACGCCCAATATCACCTGCTGTCATCCTCTTTCAGATGCTCATGTGACCACTACACCCTTTCAGCCAAGGTCCTGCCCCCATAGTTTTACTTTCATCCAGCTAACCCTGACAACTTCATGGGAAATATATTGGCAACTGTCAGTGAGATCCATGGGGTATCTTGACTCATTTTCCTCTTCGGGAAGTATCACTGAAGCAACGGTTCTGGTAGAATAGTGACTTGTGACCCAGTTTCAAAGAGATACTCAATCTCTTGGCCATTGCCGTACCCGTGCACCACAGGGCAATCAACAACCATGTCCTCCGTGTGAGAGTGGGGTGGTTGAGTCACGGGCATTGGGAGATTCCACACCCCTGCCGCCCCTCTGCTCCCTGAGGCCGGGCCCGGTTGCCTTGTGGATAAATCCAACCCTGGCTGCAGGGAGCCTAAAGGCAATACGTGTGATCCTTGCCATCTGCTTGTATTTAGAGGCACAGCTTCCACAGTTCAGGACCTCAGGGAGCAGAGGGGTGGCAGGGGTGTGGAATCTCCCAATGCCCGTAATTTATAAAAAAATTACCTTTCCTGGTGGTGTCATTTTCTAATTGCCAAAGGCATATATGTTTCTGTTGAAAGTGTTCTGGAGATGACTGGTACACAGAATGCTCCCAGAAATCTAATTTCCTGCTTAATTGGCTCTGCGGTTTGTTAAGAAGTCTGCGCTGACATACTGTATATGTACAATTTCAGGCATTTCTTGCAATAGAAGTTAAATGTTTAGTGAGGTGAGCAGCTTCTCTCATTATAATACACATTCAGAAATCAGGTTGAGACTGAAACAAACATTTCTTCAGAACAGAGAAAAATTTAAATATGAAAACTGGACTTTTGTACTCACAGTACAATTATTTTCTTGAAAGTTTGAGGGACACAGGACTCAGAGACATTTGGGTTATACTGCCATCTACAGGAGGATTTAGACACTGGCAAACAAAAAAAGCACTGACCAGCCTGGTATAAACCCTTCTTTTGTTGGTTTACCAGTGTTCATATCCTCGTAAAGGTGGCAGTAAATAGCACAATTGTCTCTGAATCCTGTGCCCCTCAATCAATGAGTAAGAAAAACATTTAGCTACAATACTTGCAATGTATACAGTTAACTTAGAGGGGGCTGTTTTGTTTTCAAGCAAAACTGAAGTTATAGTAAGAGAGGAAAAAAAGGGGTCAGTTTGTTTTTAAGCATTCAGGTAGGGAAAGTTACTTTTTTGTTGTTTGCTTTAACAAAGGGGATGATTTTTTCTTGTTAGGGGAGTAGTAGATTCTGCAGTTATTCTTGGAATTGAAAATAATTGAATAAAGCAAACCATGATTCTCTACTCAACATGCTGGTCCAATAACTTTTACTTGCATAGTTATATTAAGCTCCTGCTACCAACCACTATTTTTTGTGTTAGAGCATACATTCTTAATGTATTAGGGGCATATTCCTTTACATCATCACCTAAAATAGAAATCTGGGCACCATTTTTTATTAATCCTTGCAGTGGGGCTACCGCCACAATGCAAGAGTTACCTGCTTGTTTTGATCTAGGGAGGAAAATAAAGTTATACTCACCCGATCATCTGAGCCGACCGGCTATGACAGCATTCCCTCCTGCCTTTCTCCTCCTCCACAGTGTATAGAACGTTATGATTTAGGGACCTAAATTGTAAACCTTTCAAAACACCAGTTATCAAATGTTGCTTTATTTCTAAAAATATACGTGTGATGCACTGGGAGCACAATTCATCATGCGCATTCAGATTCAGTGATCCCGAAGCATCAGATCACAAAATCCAAACTGCCTTATGTCTTAAAAGAATCTATTGTTTATACTACCACTAATGCAACATTAGTATTTCTGAACTCACAACAGTTTGACAAGTAGCTTCTATATGTCCTATAAGTCTGCAGGCGCCCAAAAAAAAAAAAACCTTTACAGATCTTTTATGTTGTTGTATGCAATCCTTGAAACCAGGAGTTGTCTTTTCCATGAAACAATCTATTGTACATGCACTATATTTAATAAACATGAAAAAGTTCTGCATGCAATATAAAACTCTGCACTTCCAATTTTGAACTCCCAACTGTGCCAACACAGGGAACTGTCCCTTTCTCAATAAACCTGCAACTAGAGTAAAGACATTATTTGTTGTTGCCACTAGAATTCAATCCACTAAACAAGTCCAGCCTAGGATTCTCCAAGTAATTTCTAAAAAGTTTGCTTTTATGTTATTATGTCAGACATAGAGGCGAAAGCTATTATATTTTAATTTTCCCTTTGCTTTAGCATGCTGTTATACCAGAAATGGTTGATTGTACCACATCTGCTTTTATCTGCACCTGCTAAATTTGTTAAACCTACACCAGTAAAAGATGTAAATAAAAGGATCAAATATGTGAGGAAACATACATCTATAAATACTGCCATATGGAACAGTTCTAAAGAGCAACACAGAGATTTGGATACAAAGAGAGAGATAGTTGTGAGCTATGCAATCTGTAAAAAAACACAATATCTGCATTACTGTACCTATGACGCTCTTTGCAAAGGAGGCACTTTTTAAGGTGGCCAGACCCAGGTCCCCAATTTTAACAAAGCCAGTGGGCCCAGTGATGAAGATGTTGTCACATTTAAGGTCACGATGTATGATGGGAGGACAGCGGGTATGGAGAAAGTGCAGACCCTTCAAAATTTGACGACTCCACCTTTGCAATACTTTGAGTTTCATCTCCTTGAACCTCTTCAAGTAGCTAAAAAACAAAAAAATGTACACAAAATTATACACATAGACACTGATTTCATTATCTAACCCAATGCTTAGTTGGTTGGATATTAAAGCTGAACTCTAGGTTGGAATTAGCATCCTGCAAGGCTTCTCTGCCCACATATTACATGAGAGAGAGATATAATGAGATATAAGGGTTGGTTTTTACTTCAAATGTGAACCCCACTGAAGTCAATGGGAGGCAAATCTTATAAATCCTTAATGGGCATTTTCTAGGCAAATAGGCAATATATTGACAAACAAAGTGCATGGGGAGCTGCACAGTACCTTGGAGGACATTTAGCAAAGCAAAAAGATTTTTTAAAACAATTCTGTCTGGCTAGGAGCAGTGATTTTAATAATGCTTAAAGGGTAACATTAAAAATGTTTGGAGGATGCTCTAAACCGGTCTAAACATCAATAACATGTTTGGAGGATGCTCTAAACCGGCCTATAAATTAGCACATCTGCACGGTGTATAAAACCTACAACAGTAAAACTGGCATTGACAAACAAAATGCCATATAAATTGCCGGCAAATCACAGTTCCCGGCCGCTTTGTTCTGTTTGTAAATAAAGCAGCTTAGGTTCCTCTTCCCTTATCCTAAATGATAAATTAAATATTTAAATATAATATACATTAAATATTTTTTGTGAACTACTTAAAATATATAAAAATACAAATCCCTGGGGTATTTATATTAGCTCATTGGAATTTGATTAAAAAATGCACTTAAAATTTAACAATAAGGAGCTTAGGATTACAGAACCTCTATGTTTTTTTTATTTTATGACTATTTATAACATATCTAATTATATCTAACATTCAGTAATGTACCAGTGAGGCTACTAGACTGTATTTGTTCTCTTTAGCACTTAATATCAGACATTTTAAAAAAAGTAAGGTAATTTTGAATTTTGAAATTAATGGCAGCAACACTTCACAAGGAACAATTCTACCCAAGTCCAATCTTGAATGTTAAGGGTCCAATGCCATTATGCTCCTACCTTCAGATTCAATCTTTTCTCTCACCCCTACATGCCCTTCAAATCCATCTTTGTAGACACCTCACCCATATTACACCTGATTTCCACTTGCTATTCCTGCCTGCCAGACATCATTGGTTGCTAGGAAGCCAGCAGTCCTAGCAACCAATGACTGAAGCATAGAGGGGGCCTGCACTGGGTTACAGATGGCAGTGGATGCAACAGCACTGTCAGCCAGACATAACTCAGTGCAGTGCAATCACAGTACTGACAGATCCACCAGGGGGTCTGCGTGTGCTCTGCCATTTATTGACCACTGGTCTATGAGATGACAGTCAGATATTATTATCCAGTCCAGAGCAACCACACACCACCATCGAAACCACGTAACTCCACCAGCAGCCAGTTCATCTGGTTCTGTTCCTTATTGCACAACACCTCACTCCATACACAGTGCAGACCACATTATTCCAGCCACCTTCAAAACATTTTCCCCCTCCAGATCCAACAGCCCCGGTACCCACACAAACCCGTCCAATATTCCCACACCTCCATCCTCCGGCATAGACATTTTGCCCACAACATCAAACCTTTCCACCCCATCCCAGGCCCATTCCACAGCATCAGGTACTTTTTTAGACTCGGGCCTTCCACACCCACCCAAATTAAAAACAAAGTTACTAGAAGAGGTACCAGAGCTGGAAAACACGTCCAAAAAAAGGAAAAACAGGAATTTAGAATCCTCCACGATGAAAATCTTCAACTTATCTTATCACACACTCAGTTCCCATTAGTTATTCCTGCTCCAAAGGGGCCTCAATTTTGCTCCCACTGCCAAACCAAACCCATTTACTTTGTTTGTAGATTTGAATAGATTAATTCGCAAACTAACATTGAAAATACATTTTTGCACCAAACCATATGGTTCAGAACCACCACATCCCACTTCCACCATCCCAGATGCATCGAGTTCTATAGATAATTTTTTTATCTTGACCATGAAGCTTTAGAGGCCCTGTATGATTTAGCTGATCCCTATTCGACATTTGATTACACATTGGACACACTTTTAGGGTCTGACATTTCCCACACTACTTTCAAACCGAAGTCCACATTTTACCCACAGAAATCCAAAGGTCTATTCATAGACCCTTTTTATAATGTCATGTATTCGGACCTTCTGTCCATGTGCAAAAATGCCCGAAACCGACACAATTTGAGTCCACCTGAAAGTCTAGCACACAAAGAACTCACAGCCAACCTTGACATTGTTATAAAACAAGCGGACAAGGGGGGTGGCATTGTCATCCAAGACCACCTGGACTACTTAGCTGAGGCTTCTAGGCTCCTGGGCGACGGTGCCACCTATATCAGCTTACCACAGGATCCCCTCACCATATACCAAACCGAACTGTTCCAGCTATTAGAAACAGCACAAAAAGATAACATCTGAACAAAAAAAGAGAGAGCTTTTCTATACCCCCAACATCCTCACACCCCATATTTTTACCACCTCCCTAAGATACATAGAAACGAACAAGCGCCCCCTAGCCGTCCTATCATAGCTAGCACCAACAGCCTCACTAGTGGACTGTCGGTTTACATAGATAATTTTTTACAACCTCTGGTCACCAATTTGCCCTCCTACACCAAGGATTCAGGCCACCTCATCCAGATCCTTTCCTAGTACCAATGGGACTCCTCCTGGTTATCACTAGACGTCAGTTCACTGTACACTTCGATTCCACATGACGTAGGGCTTAATGCTTTACAATATTACTATACACTATAGACAAGCACAGTTCATTTTGAACCGTACCCAATTCACACTTGAACACAACTATTTTGCTTTCATGAATATGTTTTACCTACAAACCAAAGGCACAGATATGGGCGCGAATTACACCCCTAGCTATGCCAACCTCACAATGGTTTTCTGGGAGGACAATTACATATGGACCAATAACCCCTTTGCCCAACACCTTATTTTCTACGGTCGTTATATTGACGACATCATTATCATCTGGGATGGCCCATCTGAGTCCATGTTGAAGTTCGTCTCACATTGCAATAACATAGGCTAGGCCTCTCGTTCACATTTGTGTCCCATCCTTCCACACTGACATTTTTAGATCTAGAACTCTCATCTGAGGGCACTACCATCATCACCAACAATCATGTAAAACCTACTGGGGCAACTCTTATGTGCACTTCCAGAGTTGCCACCATCCTAGATTGATACAAAATATCCCTAAAAGCCAGTTTTGTAGGCTAAAGCTGTTCAAAGATCACTGACTACAATACACAGAGCCAGCTTCTTGCAAATAAATTTAAAGATAAACTATACCCAGACACATTAATGCAGGATGCTTACTCCGCCTATCTGAAACCTCTTTCCCCTACAAAAATCACACGCACTGACACAGAGGGTGATGTGAGTTTCATCACCACCTTCAACAATAATCACAACGCCATACAACGCATTTTACGAAAAAAATGGCACACAGCACTCTGACTCCATCCACCAGCACTGGACATTCTCTCCACCACCCGGAGCCGCCAGGTCCGCAAACAAGCTGACAGCCTCACAACACCGCACCGACTCTCTCACACGATCGGCTTGATCGCAACCATTCCCACTCTGCATGTAACAGATCTACATTGAGGAATACACATTATTGCTATCTACTAGGATTCACAAGTAAGTCTCCTTTTTTGTTTCCCTCACATAGAGACATACAGTCTCCACATACTATGTAACCATATGGTTTTTGCACCCTTGTGCTTCCATTGTAAATTCCAGATGTACCCATTGTGAGTTTTTTCCTCTATTCCTGTTTCAGTGACAACTGTACAATTTTGGATTTCTCTTCACTTTCTATCCAAGTAACGATGTCCATTGGGACAGAAAATAAAAGTGAATCTCCTAAATGAGGAAACAGACACCAATACTATATTGCCCTTCATCATCTACTGTTAAAAAGAACAAACAATTTGGATGAAATTACATAGTTACATAGCTACATAGTATTTGAGGTTGAATAAAGACATTAGTCCATCAAGTCCAACCTATTAGGATCTCATTCTAGGAGTACCTGTACCCCTGTATATTGCGGTCCCTTAAGAAATTGTCCAAAAGATTCTTGAAAATTCCACATTATTTGCTGAAATCACCGCCTGTGGCAGTGAGTTCCAGACCCTAACCGCTCTAACTGTAAAGAACCCCCTTCGCCCCTTGTGCTGGAATTTTTCCCCCACCAATTTTAGGTGGTGGCCTCTAGTTTTTGTAATGGAGTTAATTTTAAACAGTTTATCGCTAATGTTGCTACCACCATTGAACATTTTGTACATGGAGATCATATCCCCCCTTAATCTCCTCACCTCCAATGTGAACATGTTTAAATTTAGTAGCCTTGTCTCTTAGCTCTGGTCCTCCCCCTAATTAGTTTGGTTGCCCTCCGCTGGACTTTTTCCAACTCAAGGACATCTTTTCTTAGTACTGGTGACCAGAACTGGACCGCGTACTCCAGATGAGGTCGAACCAATGATCTATAAAGTGGCAAAATTATAGACTTGTCCCTGCAATACATCCCCTTTTTAAAAGAATATCGTGCAAAAGTAATTGCAGTAAGTGCTGCAAAAGGGGCCCAAACCAAGTACTGAGTACATATGCATGCTTGTACTTTTCAGAGGTCCGATATTGTTCTATGTACAATCCTTGTTTTATTGATTGCATGTAATAATCTACTTTTTTAAGGTTGTGGATTTGGGGTTCTTGGGGTTTTCATGAGCTGTAAGCCATAATCATCACAATTATGACAAGTCACGGCTTGAACTATCTTGCTTTGCATGTAATGAGTCTATCTCATATATTAGTTTCACCTTTTAAGTTGCATTAGTGAAATAAATGAACTTTGCACAATATTCTAATTATTCGAGTTTCACCTGTAGCTCCAGCCATAGGGTTTCCACGTCTTCGCCATTAATTCAATTTTTTTACGGTCAGCTGGATCTTTATAGAAGTTGGAAAGCATGGAAACATTCCTGATCTCATTAGGAAGTGAAAAAAGAGATTGTCATCAGATTTTGTGGTGGGAGGGGGTGAAAGGTAGGCTTTGATGTCTACATCTATAAAATAGTGTTGGCACAAATCTGTCATGTGCCATTAGAAATCCTAAAGGTTTAAGAGGATACCATTTAGCCTAATAGCAGCACAAGGTTGTGGGTACCAGGATATGACAATGGTTCCAGGGTACCAGGACAATGTGTTTCTGGGGTTCCAAGAGGCCCCTTTTATCAGGGTTGGTAAAGAATAAAGCAGCGTTTACTGGGCAGTATAAAATAATTTCTAAAACAATATATTGAAAGACAGATTGGTGCATCGATCTGCTCCAGTTGCTGGTTTGGCATTGATGTCACATAAAGGCCAAACTTTGGCCCCTGTTCTCTAAATAGCTGCCTGAAAGACACCCTCTATATTAGATAACATAACAAAATCAAAATCAAGGTCCCTATTTTTACTAGATATCCATAAAAAATAAGTCAAGACAACTGGACTTGCTGTATTTTTCTTGAAGATGTTTCACTGGTCATGCGACCAGCTTTCTCAATTCGGAATGACTTGTACAAAAATTATCTGGGACTAAATGATGTGGATTGGAGCAACATTCACCATATCTGTTAATCACAACCAGGTGTTCATTGCATTTGCATAATTGGAGCTGGGGTGTGTTATTAACCTGCCCAGAGAGAAGTGCAGATTATGTGGATTGGAGCAACATTCACCATATTTATTCCCAGACAATTTTTGTACAAGTCATTCCGAATTGAGAAAGCTGGTTGGATGACCAGTGAAACGTCTTCAAGAAAAATACAGCAAGTCCAGTTGCCTTGACTTATTTTTCACAGATATACCATGACCTGGATGAATGAGAACGTTCACAGACATATTTGTACTAGAGATCCATCGCTCCACAAAACTACCCTGTGTACTTTTTACTCCATGATGTTAAACTTTGTAGAGCTTTGCCATGCAATAAATATATGTAATAAAGCATTTCAGAAAATGGCAATGGTAATCAAAAAAAAAAGGACTTACGTCTTCAAAGTTCCAGATGTCATGAGCTCTGTAACCAGGACAATGCAGATCTGACCCTTCACCATGGTCTTCCAGGAATCATAAAATCTGACAATGTTCGGATGCTGCAGACCTTTTAGCATCTCTACCTCTTCACTGAACCTCTGGCGCTCTGCTTTAGTCAGTTTTCTGGTCTGTACACATGGAAGAAACCAAAAATCATTAACAATTAAAAAGAAATACATAATATAAATGAGCAAATAAATACATAAAATACATTTGATGTCACTTGTTTCACATGACAGGGATAGTATCTGTCATGAGATGTACGTAACAAGGTGAGCTGCTTTCAACATAACAGCTTAACATGAAGGGAGACACAATCTGCATCCTACTCCCAGTACTGTCTCTGGTGCTCTGCCCTTAGGGCCGCCCCTTTCTCTGATGTCACTTCCAGCTCTCAACACATCTCCCTCCTTTTAGAAACAATAAATGTTTTTCTCTTTTACAAAACAACAAAACATTCTTCAAGTCACTATTCTAGCTACAGTACTAATCTTGGTAGTGCGCTGGAAGCTTCACAACTCTACTACTTCAAGTAATTTTGCAAAGACCTTCTCCAAATTCTTGTGAAAGTGGTTGTGAGTCCAATGGAGGCAGTGATGTGTCCCCACCAGAATCTTGTTGTGTGTGTGTGTGGGGGGGGGGGGGTACACCTCTTAAGACTGGGGATTGCACCGGCTGTGGTCCCAAATTCTCAGCACCTAACTCCTCAGGCACTGACTGGAGGTGTGTGCCGCCTCAATAGTTGTATTTACAGCCACAGTTATTATTCACCTTAGTGCGATATTAGAATTTATATAGTTTATTTCTGTAAACCATTTTCTCATAGCTATTCTATGGTTAGTTCATATACTGCCATCTAGTGATCTTTTTTGGTACTGCACATGTTTTTCTGCGTTCCCTTCACTCATATCTATGATGCATTTCCACCTGTGTGTAATGCTCCGCCCTTCTTCTCCAGAGTAGCATTTCCTGTGTCATGGCTGCATCTAACAGGGCCACATATAATGCGCATGTAACAGGGACACATGTAATCTGCATTGCATGCTTCGAATAGTAACATCTTTTGACCGCTTAAATACCCTAATTCAGGGCTCAAAATTTCAAGTCCTGAGCTACTAGCCAGGCCTTAAGAGTTACTCGCCACCAGTTGCCCCACCTAACCCCTACCCTGCCTCCCTCGGCCTTAACTCCACCCCTAAACCCACCCTCTTAAATTATCTTATGAAATGACACTTTTAAATGTTGAAGGCAGAATAAATGTACAAAAATAAATATTAACAACAACAATATTAAGATAAAGCAATGTAAACATTGCGGCCCTCCACATCCCCACATATAAAATAAATACCCTCCCCCCTGTTCTCTGCCTCCCCCCATATAAAATAATACCCCACCGTTCTCTGCCCCCCACATATA